CACACACACGAAGGTGTCCGAGGGCCGACACAAGTGCATGTATCCACAAGTGTGCTGACGGCACACACCCAGCATATAGCCTGACATTCTTTTGGCCACAATACACCGCACAATTAAAATAAATCTCGTACGAAGGCCACATGGTGCTGCTTTTTCTAACAGCCAAACAGGGGAACAACTCCATAGCAACACCGGAGAAATGTTTACGTACGAGGATATTTGGATCTGCACTGTTGGAAACATAAACAGGCTTAGTGTCATAATTTAGTTGGGAAAAGGATTTCTCTTTGTATTGACTTAAAGAGTCAAAGAAAGAAAATAACGTGAGTTGGAAAGTCATGAACTTCCATTTTTCTCGCAGTGGGATTGTGACAGTGTGTGTTCTCATTACGAGCACACCGACAGCCCTCCATGGGTCTCAGTCTCTGAGGTTCTCGCTCTCTCTCCCCATCTATCTCTGCATTCCCAGACAGCTTTAGCAGTTCAAACCCTCGCACTGCGGCATTGTCACACACCACACTGGTTGCCATGGAGAAATAGTCCTCCTGGTCTCCAAGGTACCCGAGTCTATTGTCTTTGGCTTCTTTATTTAGATGAAAACATGATTTGTTGGAAGGGATCTACTTGTTTTTTCGCTGCTTCTCTTTGCTGCCTTTTCTTTCTTCTTCTTCCTCCTCACGAGCATCAATGCAGCGTCGCCTGATGTGTATTGTTTCATCCTTCTCCTTTCCAGGAGTTTGACTGTGCGCATGTGTGCGTCAAGCTCGTCTGATGTTTTGTAGCAATTAATTTCAGTGTGTCTGCATGTCAGCGCCCCAGGAGGGGGGCTGTATAAAAGTTTTCCCCATTGCCACAGCTCTCGCCAGGGCTTATAATTGCCTTCTATTACCAGGGCTGGGTGTCACAGTGCCTGCCTGTCTGTCACCAGAAGACTCTCAACTAACGACAGATGATGAGGCAAAGGAGTTCTAGTTTTCTTACTGTCGCTCTTTTTGGCAGAAGAAATAACACGGAATATATATATTATACAGTAAATAATAAAGAGTATTGCCCTCCAGCTGTGTGGCCTTGCTTGTTGTGCCATGCAAAAATTTCACCCACAGTGAATTGTGACCCTGCATTGTTGCAGAAGTTGATCTGGAGACACTTTTTTCAAGAGCCACGCACTCAGAAACGGCAAGCTACAGACTAGCCACACACCTAGTAACAGCTACAAAACGACGACAACAAAAAAGTTAAGCGACTCTATTACGGCTTCAGAAAGCAGCTGTGAGAGCTTGCAAACACTTACAATCAGCAAGCTCTAACCTTTGACCCTGTTTATTTGCATGTTTCCAGCTCCACTCACAGCTGTCAGCAAGCTGCTACTTCTTTAGTCACCGACTGCGCAGCTGAAAACCAAACAGGAATTGACATCACATCCGTTGCTCCGTGATAACACAACTCGGGCTGGAGTCGGAGAAACGATAGAATGAAAGGAAGAAAGAAGAAAAAAAAAAAAGAGACAGAGACAGAGAAGAGCGTGGCTGATGGGTGGAAAGAGGAAGTTGTCTGTGTTTCGTTCTCATTCAGTGGCTGTGGCTCAGACGTCCCAGACTCTGTGGTCATGTTTAAGGCCAGCCAGACAAATAAAAAGCTCCATTTTAAGTCACTTATCTACTCAGTCACATATAGTCTCCATCTCCTGTTTTGCTCACAGATGACCGTCTTGACTCACCACATATAAAGTTCTTTTTTAATCTTTATAATCACATAAACATTAAATATTTGTGGGCAAGACTGTGCTGACGTCAGCAGTTGCTAGATGACTTTTTAACTGTTCTTTTATTTGCTTCTTGTTTCTTGCACTGTGTGTAAGTAACACTCATGTAACTGAGTAATGCTATTTTTACCAGTATGTATTAAAAGTTGCAATATTCACTTTAACACTATTGTCTTTTAAAGGCTGAGAAATAAGTCTGAGGAAATGTTTGTATGTTGTCCTTTATCTTACTTTATGTAACGCATATAACTAAATCTGCTTTCTAAAAGCCGACGTGTCAACCTGTTGGTTTGCTGATACACACGCGTTTCAGTTTTTTTTTTCTTTTTGCATGCAGGGTGATGCAAAAGTGGAAGGAGAGGTTTCGGAAACTGTGACGCTGTGCTTTGTCAGCGCAGGGTGCAACGCAGGGTGAGTTACTGTTGTGTGCTTTTGTGGCAGAAGCGTGCAGCAGCTTGTTCCTCTGGCACGAAGGCTGAGCGCTGAATGGAGTGGGTGCAGGTAAACATGCTAAGACAGGCCATGTCAGTGGTTGCGCTGCCTTATTGACATGTTTCAAACTCGTACACCTACTTTTTCTCACTATCTCTCATCATTCTGAGTTTGGGATCTGGTGGTTAGAAAAAAAAAAAAAAAGCAAATCTGAATCAAACTGTCGATGTTGACCTTTGAAACCATCTCAAACAACAAATAGGTAACTTCCTGAATCATGTAGGTTACTTTTAGCCTCATATCTGCCCAAGAGATAGTACACACTTTGACCTGAAGGGTTTCATCATCCATTACCCAATATTTGTTGCTATGATGATGATGATGATGACGATTGAGTCGATGATTGTATTCTGACTGTGCTTGGCCAGAGCCATAAATAGGCACAAATTGTTTATAACGCTGCCTTCATTTCTCATTTTCAGAATGGGGAACTAGAGCAAATGAGTCAGAGCAGATGTTTTGAGATGCTGAGACAGCAGGGGTTAATGGAAAAGCGGTCCAAGAGCAGCGTTCTGAGGAAGGGTGGTGTTGAAAATACTAAAAATGTCAAAAGGAGATGACCCGCTGTGAACAGGACAAATAAACCAGTAGTTGTACTGTATGGGCTGTTGGGAATAGCCAACCATGTCCGCACACACACACACACACACACACACACACACACACACACACAGACACACACACACATACACATAAAACCATATCTCTCCTAAGTGAAAGAGCCAGCAGGGAGAAAGGGGAAGCGGGTGGGTGAGAAAGGAGAAGGAGGGGAGGACTGTGGGAGAGAGGCAGGAGGGAAGGGAGAGGAGGTCTGGAGCGAGTCCAGGGGAACTCCAGACTGCTGTTACCCAACATGCTCTCTCTCAACAGGGGCTGGGAGCCTGGCTGCTGCTGGAGAAAGACACAGGACCCCGACAACGAGGAGGGGGCGGACCACAAACACCGACACACTCACGTACACCCTCACCCCTTGATGCACACACACACACACACACACACACACACACACACACACACGCCACCGCCGCCATGTCACCATAGAAACACAATGACCCTGGCCTTAGAGGTGCACTCCCGAGCCTGATCACCCGCCGTGCTCTGAGTCGTGGGGTGGAGTAAATCTGCCTATTTATAGCTGGCCCAGTGGCTCTTTTTTTTTTTTTTTTTTTTGTGACAATAAGAGCTAATCTCCTTTCTCCAAAGTCCCACCACATCTACCTGACATTAGCCTATCCCCGGCCCACATTAGCAAAAGAGATGAAGAAGCAGAACAGGGAATAAAATGAGAAAGAGAGAGAAAGTGAGTAGGTGGGAGGAAATAACAGAGAAAACACAGAAAAACAATGAAGTAAACCGAAGCTACGATGTCCTGATTCTACAGTTTGAACAGATCAGCATGTGTGTAGTATAGCGTGCATGTGTGTGGTTGAACTTCGACCCACATGAACCCAGACCAGACTTTGACCAACATGACTCGGCACTGCCCGGGGTAATTGTCCCGCTATTGGCTTCTGCTCGCAGCCAGACTGAGTTAGCAGAGGCAGTCACAGGGAGCAGCACGTAACTTTAGCCGGAGTAAAACCCACTCTGACCCTGGCTGCAGTCCAAGTCCAATGGCCTGTTTCTCCACCCCTCCTCCCCCCCCATCACGGCTGCGCTGATACTGAGCATACGCTGCCAGCACACAGTAGTGGGTTCAGTCGAGGCCTCACAATACGCTGGACACAAAGACAAACTGCTCCAGATAAAAGGGCTGATATTGATACTGCTGTGCCTTCACCAATAAATTCCCGGACATGATCTGAACGCCTTCGACAATGCTATGCCGTGTCGTCCCTCAGTGTGATTGATCAATGCTCTCTTTCTTTTTTTTTTTTAACTGCAGCTTGTTTTTTTGTTTTTCCATCTTTCACACATTCTTTTTGCTCTTCCTCTAGATTTGTATTTTCCATTCACTGGTTTCATTTCTCCTCTTTTTACTAATCGCAGTTCCTTTTTTGTTTGGAATGAAATCATGAGACAAACATGTGATTAAAATAACCGACCACATTCTATTTTTACACTAACGTACGACACCAGATGTATCGGAGCTTGAGGCGAAAGGTATTTCAGTTCCTGAAATCTGCCTGATGGGAGAGACGACTGATTTGAACTCAGCCGTGATGCACAAGTGTTTCCTGTCACACAGCAGTCACAGTTGTTGTGTTTTCAACTGTTTTGGGAACACTTTTACCCAAAGTAAAGCGCTGAATGAATAAACTGATAGATTATGACCACATCTGTATCACAACTATGCACTGGCACTCAGTCAGGTGTCAGTCAGACTATTTCCTGGCCGGACGCTATTCATGTGATCATCATGGGCAGTTGTGCCTCGGTGGCTAACTGTTTTGACTTGACTAGCTCCTCTCTAACCCCAGGGCTTGCTAATTGGCTTAGGCTGTTTCCTTTGTGGCAGACTGCGTCACACAGTAAACTTAACCTCAGCCCAGACATAAGCATATTAACATGGTTAAGTATAAATAGCTCAGAGTAGTTAAATTAATGTGGAAGTGAGTATTTTAGGCACCTGTGATCTTGTTAGTGGTGTTAAATTTAGCTCTGTGGTCCTCAATGAAGAATGGAAACAGTGACAGGGACCTGTTTTGCCACAACACACTTCCTGTGCACTGTGAGTAGTGAGAAAACCACAACCCAGTGACGCAACGTTCGGAAAAAAAAAAAAAAAAAAAAAAGCAACAGAGGCGAGGAAACTCAGCAATGAGGAAGTTGTGGCTTCATTTGAAAAAGGAAAATTGTTGACTGAACTGTAAATGGATACTGTAAGTGAACTGCAAAGTTTCCTTTGTGTGGACTTTCCCCTTTTGCGATAACACAATAGGCAGCAGTGATAAGGTGAGCAACAGACTGAGTACATGGCTGCTAATACTACCGCTGCTACTTTGCCTGACGGTGGAATGATTTCTTTGCTTTACTGCACAAAATTATTTCAGCAAGCATACGCTCACATATAGACACACATAGCCACCCTTTTTTGTTCTCTTTTATATTCTCAAACTCTCGTGCCATTGTCGCTACTCTAAGATCCTGTGGGCTATTGTTTGCCGTGACCTTCGCTATGCACAGCAGAACACGCAGCCTTTCCAGGACCACAAAAAAGGACTTTGTACTATAGACACAAATGTGCTGCAGCGTTTCCTGATAAAGCACAGTGGAACGTCGAATTAAGAGACCGATTTCTGAACGTAATCTGTTATATAAACTGCTTATTGACATGAATGAATTTATAAGACAGCACTGCGTAAATGTTGTCTATTGTTATGTGATTATGATATTTATACCCATGACCATGAGCTGCTAGTCAGAGGAAATGCGAAATGAGTGCATGTGAGAGATATTTTTGGTTCATTTGTGTCAGTTACCCTAAAAACCAAAAACGAAGATGCAGTCATTTTTGTCTGTTTGTGTGGGAGTTGGAACAGTGCAAGTGCAAGAGTTTGTGCGTGTATATTTGTGTGTGTGTGTGTGTGTGTGTGTATGTTTATGAGTGTGACATAGAGTGTTGGAAAGAAACAAATTTATAGTGTGAATTTTCTCTCTCCGAAACAACACCGAAAGTCATGAATCATCTCTGCTGCACAGACACAACCACAGGAAGTACCCATGGAACACATACACACACATGTACATGCACAGCCGGTATACAAAAGAAAAACCAAATACAATGAGAGTGATCTACTGGAACAAACAACAGGCCAGAAATAACACATAAATACAGCCCATAAACTTTGAATATCTCAAGGGTATAAATTCATCAAGTTTGTTTCCAGGGATTTCTTCAGATCGATCACAAGTCTCAACAACGCAGAAGAAGATTTTTTTTCTTTCTCTGAAACAGGCACCAAATCTTGTAGATCAATAAACTTTGGTCAAGACCCCATCACAACATCCCAGCCATTTGCTGCAGACGACAAGGTTACCATGGTGACCCCTACACACTGGGGACATATGTAGGAAGTAAAAAGAAGCGTGTGTGTGTGTGGTCCAGGTATTCCTCATGTTGTGGGGACCTGAATCTGTTTACACAGTCATATTATGGGACCAAAAAGCAACATTATTAAATTTTTAAGTGGAAGGCATATTTCAAAGTTAGGGCTAGACAAGTAGTAGTTATATTTCAAGTAAGAGTAAGTCTCCAGGAAATGAATGTAAGTCAAAGTTATGTCCTCTGAAGTCATGGATACACGTCTGTGTGTGAGGCTTATGGGAGACGGGGAGATAGCGAACCAGCGCTCTGCCTTGACCCCTGGAGTCCGTCTTTCTTGTAAACCTCGTTTTGTTCGCTGCGACAGAACAGAATAGTTGCTCATTATTCCTGTTGTATGAGCCTGGTCCTGTGGGTGACAGCCATAGAGAAAGTGTCCCCTCGCTGACCAGAAGGAACACACCACACACACAAACACAAAGAGAGAGTTAACAAGAGATAGACGAAAGGATCTCAAGGTTAAAAGAAATCCAGGCATGGCCATTGAAAGACACACAAAGGAGTACAAAGTGCTACATTTGTCCATGGCTTCCTCTGACATCTCGTTATGAGCAGTGGGAGAACTGGTCAATCATACGGTGCTTTTAGTATGTTTTTGTTTATAAGCAGTGCAGTGGTAAGGCTTTAGATTGCAACACATAGCGCCCAATTTACAGTGCACCAGTACAGTGACTTATCAAAACAAATATGAGGATGCTTCCAAAAGGTCTTACCAGAAAACAAGACGGGAGAAAGATTGTTCTTCCACTATTTTCCAACATCGTCTTCTTTGACTTCAATGCATGTGATGTTCAGACTTTACCATCCCTTCACAGGAGAATGTCACATCTTGAGGACTTCTCAACAGCATGCATGACCCCATCATCACGCTGAAAATGGCAACCATGCAAGTGGGACTTCAGTTTGGGAAACAGAAGTCAGACGGTCAGTTCAGGTGAGCAAAGTGCACGAGGCAACAGTTCAAAGTTACATATGGCTGCTCCTCCTACTGGGGCTGTGGACGGACACATTTTCCCCAACATGCCAGCCCAAAGCTTTCCCCCCTTTGTTTCTTTGATTGCTTCAAACATTTGACTCTTGACAGTGATATAAGGCTTTATAGTTTACAGGTATGCACTAAAATGAGAGTTAGGCCCTTGTTTCCGAGTTAGGCTGAGAACTTTATGACGTACTCTTGTATATGTACATGTAGGTCCATCTGACCGAGATGTGAATTTAATTTACCAATCTGGGCTCTTGAAAAGTGTTATACCTTAGCGTTCGTTTTCCAAGTGGAAACCTATTTTGCTATGACAAAAGTACAGTATGAGCATTACTGAGCCACCAGGAGAAGCACTTTGTCAGTCATATATAATTTGTTTTAAAATGTTCATAGAGTGCTTACGCATAAAAACTGCAAGGAGTTGCGTTGCATGTTGTGGGCCATGATCTTGTCTTTCCATTTGCTCTGTTTGTATTTATGCCATGAAGCAGATAGAGAGCGAAAACATTGCCGTCTTTGTGCTTGTTGCCAGTTGATGCCGTTGCTCTGATCCCTCAGGGCTGGCATGCTTGGTTGTCCAGGTGATGGCCACCGTGGAGACAGAGGGCCTGACCGGTCTTGGCCCACTCTATTACACCAACTGTGCCAACTTACCGTCAACTGGACACTAAACGGCGGCGACACGCATGCCGCTCTCCTCTGCAATGTACCGTGGGCACATGTGTTCAAACCTGAGAAAAGATAAACCAAAAGGGTGCACAGCCATTTGAAATCAGGAGATCTGAAATCAGATTTGCCACCCTCACATCTAACCACATCAGTTAAAAGAGTGTTGAAATATCTGACCCGGCATCAGCGGTGTAGGGGGATGATTTTGTTGCTGGTGGGCTATAAGCAACACAGAGAAGAGATTTGCAGAGACAGCCCATAACAGCTCCCTTGGAACCAATGACTCAGATATGCAGATGTGTTTACTTCCCTTCTGTTTCCCACCTCAACCAGCACACAAAAGGCAGGGGGAATGAAAGTGCCTGATAATGTCTTTAAGTGTTTCATTTATATATTTATATGCTGTTATAAAGAACTCATTTTTTACTAAAACTTAGACAAGCACTTCAAATGGGCTCTTTGCCTCTTCCCTCTATTCCCTCCCTCCCTTCTGAGGGTATTCATCTTTTGTCTAATGCGTAGCGCTGCTCTCTGTTAGTTTCTTTTCTGACACCATGCCAGCAGAGTCATCTGCAAAGGGACTCATGTAGGGATTAAAAACCATCAACAGCTCCCCTTTAACAGAGAGGTAGAAAAAAAAATGTTGAAAAATAAAATACAAAAAAAAAAAAAAAAAAAAAACTCCAGACAGTTTTGAGAAAACTTGCAGAAAGAGAATGCAGATTGTCACCTGACCCTGAGGCAAGGCAGCCCTAAATATAATAAAGAGAAGACAACAGAAGAAGACGAGGCGACACGACACGGGTAATGTGTTTTCTCTGCTGGTGTCGTCTGGCAGATCTGGGATGATTGAGTGCTGATGCCTGCCTGGGCCGCTTCAGAGAAGATCGTCTACCCCCCCCTCAGCTCGAACACACATGCACACACGTGCACAGCCGCACTCACGGCACACACTGACACATGTGTGTGCGCACACACACACACAGATTTCCTGTTGTTGAAGTGACAAAAACATCAAGGCGTATTAACTGTCATCATCTCAGCATCTCTTCATCTCTCTTTTTGGTCGAGGGAATATTTCAAGGTAACACTTTTTTATTGTGGTGTGTCTGTGCTTGTGTGTGGTTTCTCTCCATGGTGGATGTGTGTCTTAATTATAACGGGGTTTAGTGAATTAGGCCAGGATGTGTAATAGACTCGAATTTGCATAATCTCTGTTGAATAAACCCCAGTGACAAACATGCAAGCAGAAAATCATACCTACTTACTGTACTGCACGACTTCAATGAAAAATGATGTAGAAAGGCGTGTTTGTGACAGTAATCTATAACGTTTATTTGCAAAATGTGCGTATTAATCTCTGTGCATTTCTATAATCACTCTGTATTGTGAAATTGTCAGCAGCAGATACAGACAAACAGGTGCTGGCTACAGAGGAAGTTGATTGGCTGGTTTCCATGATCCATTTTCCCAAGGCTTCCACACCCCTGCAGCTGTCCTCCAGAATATGAGAACCATGTGTGTGCGCATGTGTGTGTGTGTCTGTGTGTACTCGTAGTGCATGCTTGTGGTTATGACAAATTCACTCCTCGTTGCTTGCCAATAAGCAAGACAATGATCTTCATTGACAACGAAAAATAAAATGCCAAACAAATGGGCCAACAAATAAAAGTAACTGTAGAAAATCACCACCTGAAATTTAACAGCCCTTAACTGGTTTTTGTTTTTTGGGGGGGGCTTTTTTGGACTAATTTTAAAATTTCTCAAAGTTTGAAAGAGTCTGGCCTGCTTGTGAATCAGCTTCCCTGATGTTCAAAGTGAAGTCATGTAACAGGTTTTTTGGGCTTTTGGCTGTTTTGCATGGCAGAACGTTTTGAACTGAGCAGTGACAGCTTCAGCCCGACTGAAGAGTCTACTTCAACTCGCCTCATTTCTATTGGAAAACACTTCTCTCTCTCCCTCTCCCTCCGTCTCTCTCTGTGTCTCTCTCCCTCACCGTCCTCTCTCTGAAGCTGCAGATCACTTGAAAAAGAAAGGGGAAGGAACATGAATAAAAACTGAAGGCACTTCTCTCAGATATGTCTCTTGATGCTCTTCAGATCTTTAAGGCTTCGTCACAGGGAAATGCAGGGTTACTCCAAGAAACCGAAGGACTGTGACTTCCCTAATCTACTGTACAAGACCTGAATTTCTAAAATCACCTTCTTCACAGCAACTTTGCTTTCCTCTCTCATAATTTTGATCCCATCTATTTGGCTTTTACTTATTGATGGGTAGGTGGAGGTGCAGCGCCACTCAATAACCACTTTTCTTTTAATTTGGATGAAAAGAAGAAAACTGGGGACCACATTGTCAAAAGAGAGTCTTGGTCTGTCTGTCCTTGATCATTTCATACTTTGATGCAACAGAAAAGAAGAAAAATAAGTCGAAGTGAATAAACTTTAGTGCAATACAAATTACCGAAGTTTCCATTATCTGTCCTTCCACAAGTGATCCACTGTGTAATTTGTTCAAGTAAATATAAATATAACTTGTTAACTAGATGAAACTGTGTCCAATAAAATCTGAAACGGCCGAAAAAAGTTTTGTGTTGATTGAAGATATTATTGCGAAATTTCTGCAAAAGGATTTCTGCTTACAGCTGCTCTCCCAGTGAATCGTAGCGTATCGGAGTTTGAAAAAAATTGCAGGTTTAGGGGACTAAAAGCTGTACCTGGGTTTGCCCTGTAATTCTCTGATGACTGATGTGCTAGGCCTAATGAAAACATCCTTGCAAAGTGAATCTGATTGGATATCAGCTCTCAGTCACTGTTAAGCAACAGCAGAGCAAATGAGATGCCAGCAGCGTCCCTTTTCTCCGTCCGTCTCTCTAAATTGGATTTCACGTTACAATGCAACAGGTTTGACCTCTACGGATGAAAGTTAAGCGTAACACCGGTTGTCTTTTACATCGTCTTTAAATCTGAAAGATGCCACACAGAATTGAATTCAGCAAAAGCGGGATTATGCAGTGAGTAATGCTGCCGTGACGACTGCTGGCTACACCAACGCCCATAATCTCTGAATTTACCAGCTTCTGTTACTTGCATTGATTCTGTACTTTCTCCTTTATGTGGAAGTTTGCTAGTTAAGTTTAGGTCACATCCTGTATCATAGTTAAATATTAAGTAACTCTGCAACACTAAAGTTTCTCTTTTTCTCTCTCTTTGTCTTTTTCTGCAGCCATTTTTTTGAAAACTAAAATAAGATGTGCCCATTAGACGAATGCCAAACTCCTCACCTGCATCACTTTTCTTTTCACTTCCTGTGACTTGGACTTGGAGGCCGACACATTTGGACATACATGGTAGGTGTGACTCACATCGGCCCTGCTTGATCTTTATCACTCATGACTTGTGACATATATTTTTGCAATTTTACGACACTCTAACACACTCTTTATGCTTACGTGAACCTTATTTAAATAGATTCATTTGTGATGCTGCCTGTCTTGGCTGGGAAACTTTTTTTTAAGTTAAATAAAGGCTTAAAAAAAAGCGAGAAAAACTCTCCTTCTTCAAGGTCCAATTTATTGTGATGAGTCGAAGAGGCAAAATTTAGCCATGACTCATGTTGATCTTTGGAGGCTTATGTCAGTAGGGATGCTGGGATAATTTTGGGAGGGTGACTTGGCCTGAGGTCTTCTGTTCTTTATAATAGACAGTCCAATCAAACAGTTCACCCTCAAGTGAAGACAGGAAACAGCACCCCCTGTTGGGGAGCAACAGCACTGCTTCGAGGGGCAGCCTAGAAAAACATTGTGTGACCTCTGGCTCACTGTATATCTTACAGCCTGCAATATGAGGGGACAGCTTTAGCTTTGCAGCTTTATTATCTTGTTTATTCAGTGTATCGTTACCTTTTAGGGAATCGTCACAAATTCAGCACTTTATGCTGAGTGTCGTGCTTTTAATTGTCCCTTTCTTTTGCTCAAAATAATAGGATTATACAACACCCCAGTGAAGACGTGTGACTGAGATTTCTATTGTTCTTCTTGTCTCTTGTTGTCACTGCAGTTCCTCCTCCCCTCTCCACTCCCTGGACATCACATAGCCAACAGATTAATTAGACAACTGATAGCAGTGTTCTCTCTTAGTCCTGGCCCACTGAGTTTTGTTTTTCTTTTTCACTTCTTGTAAGCCTCTAATTTCTATCTTTACATTAATGGAGCTTACTTGGTGTGCTGACCCAGGGGAGGCAAAAAATTAAGTCTCCTTTTTTCCTCCAGGGGGGCTGCAGCTTATTCCGCAGCTAGTTTGCTTCATCCATTTGCTGAGGGAAAATATTATACCAGGCAATTTTGTTAGACCGTGCAGATCCTAAATTTAACAAAAAAAAAAGAAAAAAAAAAAGCTTACATTTCATTATCACTTTTCCGTTGTATCGCACAATCTTACAGGGAACGTTGCAATCTATAAATAAAAGCAAAGGGCATTTTGTGAGAGCAGCCAGTGTTTCATGTTCTTCCATTCAACGTCTGTCAACCCTCTCTGGACAAGGGTCCAGGTTGGTTGCCTTGGAAACGAGCATAGGACTATTCTGAGCGCCCCAGCAGTGAGGGAGAGAGGAAGCGAGTGTAGTAAAGGTAAGTCACTCAAGGACTATCTGGTCAACCTGATAAAGTGTGATGAAAATCAAAGGCCACGACTCAGCGTCGTCTGCAATTCAGGAGAAAAAGAGAGAGAGAGAAAAAAGTGATTTCTTTTCTGAAAGCTTTGAAAAGAGTTGAACACAATGGATCAAATATTGTGTTGCTCTCGGAGCATGTCTTATAAAGTGGAGGAATCAATAGAAAAACTAGAGAATGGATTTACTTTCTCCTCCGATGTACAAACAGCGCAGTATGTTGCAAAAGATGCTGCCCCATCTGACTGGGTCGTAGACATTTCTTCTTTTTTATTGTTTTTTTGTTTTTTTTACTTGAACACATTTTTACACACCCCCTCTGCGCTATCTGTGCATTAATTACATGTGTCTGAAGTGCAAGCAACACTTGTTACACTAAACCATTATGCATGAGTCCAGGTCTGGGGCTCCACGCTTTTTATTCATGTTCTTTGAGGAGGCTGTCAGGCATAATTAAGACAACATGCTTCTAACCAGCCTGTTTGGATAGCCTCTGCCTCCCAACCCCCCTCACACTTCACTCTCCGCCTGAATTTGCCGCTGCAACTGCACACGTCGGTCCTTTGTATGTATCACAAAGCGCAGGGATGCAAGCAAGTGTGTAACAGTGACTATATCCAGTTTAGTTTGAGTAAAGGCAACAGATGGCAGGAAAATACCCAATTTGTTAATCCCTCACATCTAATTGCATTGTGGAAGTTTAAAGCAGAAAAAGAGGCAGAAACAAAGCACACAGATTGACTTTTCAGATAAAAACAACCACACCACTTGTCCATTCCTGCTATATTTACACTTATGTACATTTTGCGGGCAAAAAGCTGCCGTAAGGTCAGTGTTTGTTTTCCTTCTTTTGCTTCTCTCTTCACTCTTCCCTTGTGATCCAAGGTGACAGGGCAGGGCCGGGGTGGATAGGGCAGAGAGAGAGAGTGACCCGGGCAGCAAGGACAGGAGACACAGGCCTGTTGGTGACAGCACAGCAGCCACACAGGGGCCTGTAGAGACACTCCAGAGGGCATAATTCAATCATAACACAACCGTGATGAAGACAGAGAGACAGAGTTGGGGGATAAACCGGGAGAGTCGGAGGCAGAGGAGAGGAAAGCGGATAGAGGCATGAGTAGAAAGAATCAGATTACCATGCTCTTAAAGGGGAGGGGAGGATGACACTCATCCGACCTGATTTAAACGACAGAAGCGTAAGGAATGAAGTCCTCAGCTTGTCTGTACCCTGACCCTGCCAGGGAGCGATGAGTGTGAGAGAGGGGAGCAGAAGAATCGGTCATGCTTGGAGTGAGATGGTGCCTAATCGTCCAGAGGCCCGGACTGAGTAACTGTGACTGGGTGCATCCGCCGCTGAGCGAGCGGCAGGGACAATCTGAAAAGCTAAAAAGCCATAATCAGGTTTTTTACGCAAGCGGGCGAGCACGGTTTGCATGCGGGCTGCTTGGGGCTATGTGTGATGAGGCCGTCAGCCGCTAGTGGTCCACAGACATGACACAAGTCATTTCACCTCAGCTCCACTCTGCTCATGCACATTTACAGAATGGTAATCGTGCCCTGCGCTCTCTGGCTGATGCTGTCTGTGTGAATGTAGCCCATCTGTGCAGCTGGTTGGCTGGATTGATGGTTTTTAGTCTACCTATTGGAATTTCTTTCTTTTTCCCTTTTCACTCTCTATTCCAGTCACTCTTTGCTTTTGGGCTGTCTATTTTTGTCCGTCTTCAACAATCATGTGCTGTAATGGTATCAAACATTGGTGAGAAACTATTCTATCCCTACAGTAAGAGCCCCTGTGATTATAGCTGAAGAGTCCAGATAGTTTCCTTTCAGGTGTGTGTGTGCGGTTTGCACTTCTCCCCGAGTTTATGTCAGTGTGATTGTGTGTATGTGTTTATGTGTGCGCATGTTTGTCTTAGACTATTGATCTGGCCAGCCCACAGCAGACATTAAATGAGAAGAGTGGAGGCTGATGCCGACAAGGAGAGAGATGGAAAGAGTGATGGATGGCAATAAAAGAAAGGGAGCTGTAGGCAGGCAGAGCATTTTTATCTTTTTGATGTTACCATTTTGAAGTGCAAAAAGTAAGAGAATGCATTTAAAGATCTATCTAAGAATGTAAAAAAATGGAATCTTTGTACATTTTTTATGCAGATGATCCCTGCATGCCTTCAGTTCAATCCCAGCTGGTGGGATCCACGAGACAGGAAGCCAGATGTGGACACCGAAGTGGACGTGGTACACATACATACACTCACCCACAATAAATGTGCTCTTATAAATCAATTTTGCTCTACTATACAGACACAACCGGATTGAAGGAAGTGGCTCGGAAATATCAAAACAACCTTGGGGAGCTTGAGCTCACTGTGAACACTGTGTGCCTCCACTACGTGGGCTCTTTATATCTCTCCTATTCAATCAATGTGCTCCCCTCTCTTTCATCCATTAATTTGCTCTCTCTCTCTCACTCTCTATACGCATTATTTGTGTCATTGTACTGTTTGTCCTGTTCAGTGGGTATCATAAAGCAGTAGGGGCGACACACACCCACAAACTTGTGTGTGATGCAGTCAAAGCAATGGAAATGTCAAAATGTAGCGGGCATGATGGCTTCTTAACTCGCTCTATCTAATCGAAGGGGACAGCAAATGAATAGGTTCTCTTTGTCTGTCATCGTATGAATCACACTATGATTACATGCCACACACACGAACAGGAAGGTATATTCACACATGCACACTCAGGAAAAATATAAATATAATGGCATGTCCTTGCCAAGCAGAGTAAAAGGCATTCTTCAAGTGCACACAGTAACTTGTGGACACACCCAATACTGTATGTTCACATGCAAACAGAGACACGTGTGTCAGTTGTTGCAGCATATACATACAACGCACAGCACTCACAAGAGGTCAAGAGCACCATCTGTGCATGTTCAATTCTTAATTAGATTCACAGCCACTGAATAATGCATCTGTGTGACCAAAATAGATTGGAGGTGGGGAATACCTGAGATCACATATTTGACACATTTTTTCATTGACATCTTGGAAATCATCGTGTTTTTCTTTTCTACTTCCTGGTGTTGGGCCAATTAGTCCGTCTTGTTAATTCAAGGGTCTCGAGGATATAAAATGATACTCCACCCAAAATTTATTATCACATTCTCTCTTGCTCTCTCAGTGGTCGTCAAAAGTTTATAGTTGCCTCATGGTTGGAAAACAGCCGCCTGCTTAGCAGCAGTTCATTTACACTGGAATGTGCAGTTTAAAACAGTCTGAATGTCTCGTCTTAGTATATTATTGCCATTATACAAAATACTAGTAAATAGACAAATGAGTTTCTGAGGTATGGGCACAATAAGTTGAAACAGTTTTTCCCCATTTTTTTCTTTAAAATGTTTATATATACATAAATTTATACTAAAAAGTTAAAAGTAGAACTAAAAAGTAAATAGTTTGAAACATACTGAGCATATAGTGTAGATAAACTGTGGCAAAATGCATTGTGGTGCAGGACAGGAGTGGTTTGAAAACTTTATAAGGCCTTTTTTTTTTTTACAGTGAAAATTTGAGTGTAATTTAAAGGAATTCAAGCTTTTCACAGCTGCTCACTCCAGTCATTGAGATTACAACTACTTTTCACATTTTTGGATCACAGCGTCCTTTTAAGGTTGATCATTACAGCTTATTCTGCAATTTTCCCAAAAATTCAACAGATGTAATTCCAAAGTGTCTGACAGATGACAGAGAATGATTAACGGCATTAATACTTTGTTTGTGTCACGAAGAAGTTGATTCGTTGCTTCCAAAGTCGCAGTGTGTCACAGAGCGTAAGTACAGGTTATGTAAAAAACTATGTCAGCCTTGTAAATCTCTTCAAACTACACAGAAAACAATGCCAAGCTGTGCTGAAAACAGATATTGTACCGAGACTCAAAAAGGAGGAGCTTTGTAATGCCGATGCATCTCGTCGCTGTCAACGCTGACATGCTCATAAAACACAAGGCCTCATTTTACGTCAAACAGGAAATAGCCTGCACAATCCTGGGAACAAACAAGAGAGGACAGCGGTGCAGTTTGATTGGGCCGTGAACGGTCGCTGTCGTTACAAAGCACCACTGTAAGCTCCATTGATTATCAAAGGGCTCCGAGCTCAGACGGGGAGTCTACTGATCTTTCCCAAGCTCAGACATGAAAAGCCCCCAGTGACAGCTCATAGCCTGGGCTAGATCACACCGCTGTGCTGGGTGGGGGGGGAGGCGGGAGGCTTCTGCGGTGCCTGTTTTCCAACCACCTGCTCCACAGGCCGCGGTTGTGTTTTCTTGTTTTCTCTCTCTTAACGCTGTGCTCTGTCAGGGCGACAAGGATGCACTTTCATGTGAACTCAGGGCCAGCAACGACATCGGTGTGTGAGCGACACTTGGTAAAACAATGCAAGACAACCTTTTATTATGGCTATGCCTCATTACTTTTTAACCAGTGTAATCGTATGTGCTGCTCCTCATGAATTATTCACAGGTAAGCTCTCGTCACAAAATGACAGGAGGAGATAGCGGAGCGCTTCAAATGAAAAAACAAGCACAAAAATAGGAGAAGGCATATGCCGGGAACGTGATGCAGGGGTACATTTCTTCATGCCATCCATTAACTTATAAAGACTTTCATGCAGAGGCCACTGATTATTTATGTGAGCTTGCAACCCTGTAGAAAACGTACAGTCGGGGCTTTCAGCATGTGGCTCACGCATTGTGAGTTTGTTTTATTTGGCATGTGAGAAAATTTCAACTGACGGGAACAAATTGAAAAGCGGT